TAAGGAAGTAAAACCAGTAGAACTTAATCACTGATTGGATACGGGAACTGACAGACTGAGAAATGAATTCAGGATAATTTTCAGGTGTCTCTCTTAGGTGCCAGGAAGCTGGTGATTCTATTAACCAGGTCAGGGCTGAGCAGATTTAGGGAAGGGAGGAAGGTATCTCAGTTTTGCCTATATTTAGGGACATAGAGATGCTGGGAATTGATTGGAGACAGGGATTTGGGCAGAGATTGAGATCATTAGTGTTCAGATACATTTGGTATTTAAAATTTATAGGATGGGATGAGCATATGGCCTGTGTGTGGCTCTCTGTGTGTGTAGGGTGAGAAAGAGGAGAAAGGAAGTATGTGAAAGAAGTTAGTTGTGACTACATTATTAAAGGGTTTGTGTCCCCACTCTTTCACTGGTTCACTTCTGAGCCCTGCTCGGTGGGGAAGCAGATAGAGGCCATGGCCCTCATCAGCAGAGAATGTTGACTTACTGACTTAGTATGGTCCACTCAAAGGCTGCCCTCATCTTCCATGAGGAAAGAAACCCAAATGACTTCTCAGATATTTCACAGTGGGCAGCAGAGCACCTTGATTCTAGTGTGGGAAGGTGAATGCATTTCTGGATTTTTTTTAAAGAAATTCACGGCCTTCCTCTTTGTCTCTACACCCAACAGCAGATCTCAATCTTAGTTTTGCCATCATGTGGAAAAGGCGGGCTTCTTGGCATATTAGGTCCCCATTTCAGTCAGTCCCTTGATCCAGATGGGGCAACTTAGATGTTTTACCTCTGTGAGTGTCAAGCTCGTGATGTTCCCTTTGGGTCTGGGGATAGGATAGGCAGTGTGGATGCTGTTCCCCACTTCCTTTCCTCAGAGAACGTGAGAAACTTCTGAAGCGTTCATTGCAGTAAAGGGTCACAGGAGAAGTTTCAAATGAAGCAGTAATGCATGCTCTATTATCTTACTTCTGAGGACTTTCCCCTTACCTGGGACTCACGTTTTCAATTTGGAAGTCAAAGTCTTTCCTGGTAGGAAGCCAGTGTGGCTGAGATTCTCACCAGGCATTTTTAAGATTGCTTCTGAAGAGTTCTGTGCTTAACACAGCACTGAGTGTCCATCATCTTCACAGAGCTTTTGGTATTCATATTACAGATTTCTCAGGTAGCTTGGGGAGACGTAAAAGAGCCTTTGTCTTGGAGCTAAACAACTCCAGGCAGCTTTGGAGAGGTTGTGTGATGTAGCACAGGCTCTCCGCAGTCTCACTGACCCAGGTTTGAATACTGTTTGTGCCTTAGACTAAGCTGTTTGTCTCACCTGTACAATGGTGATAACCATTCTTTGCAGGATTGTTTTAAGGACCAAACATGATAATGTATGTAGAATGCTTGGGACGTGGCATAACACGTACTAGACAAGTCACTTCACCTTTCTGAATATGTTTCCTCCTTTTAAAGAGTGAAGATGATACCAAATGTTGTGTAGAGTAATTGTGAGGAGAGAATGAAATAATGATTACAATAATCTTATGCAAATATATTATTAAGGTTATAATTAAAGAAGAACCCAAGGATCTTGGCAACCTATTCCAGAGTTTTAGCAGTAATGCATGTTATATTGAACTAGAATTTCTCCCCTTTATTATAGTCCTTTTCATATTGTTTAAAGAGCTCTGGTGGTGCAATGCCTAAGGCATTCGACTGCTAACCAGAAGGTTGGTGGTTCAAACCCACCAGCTGCTCCACAGAAGGAAGATGAGGCAATCCACTTCCGTAAGGATTTACTGCCTTGGAAACCCAATGGGGGTCACTATCAGTTGGAATGACTTGATGGCAGTAAGTTTGTTTTTTCCCATTTTGTTTGACTTTCCAGGAACATAGACAAGTGTTGGTGTTTGTTTTTTTTTTCCCCCTCCATACACTGAAAGATATAATCTACTATTAGCTTTTAGGTTAAAGCAAAAACAAAAACAAAAAATAACCAACCTTGATTTTACTGGAAAGCTATTTTCTTAGTTACTTTTATTCTGAATGGTCTCTAATTTCTCCATTGCTTATGGTGCCTAAAATAAGAAATGATATGAACAAAAAGAGAGAGAGAGAGAGAGAGAGAGAATTCCTTGGATTACTTTCTGTCCCTCACTTCCCAATTTTTTTTTTTTAAATACATCTGTATCTTTATTATAAAAATGTCATCACCTTACAGACATTTTGGAGAGAAGAAAAATCACCTGCAATTCTATCAGTGGGAATTGCTTAATATTGGCCTTATTGAATTACATGGGCTCTTTAATAAAGATATTAATCTTTGCCATATGGGCTACAAATATTTTTCCTTTTTCTTTCTGCTATAGTTTTTTTTTTTTTTTAATTCATACACACACACACACACACACACATAATTTTAAGATTTATGTACCCTTAAATTTGAGCTGTTGAATTTAATCCATGTTTACAATTAAGTGAGGGCAGTTGTAATTGAATTCCTGTCTCTGGGGTATATTGCCATGACTTCTTCCCCACTCCTAACTTGGTATAATTTAGAACCTTGATAAGCTAACTTCTGCTCATTGGCTCAAGTTAAATGGATCACAAATTGTAATATGATGGCAAAAACAAACTTTGGAGAAAATTTAGGCTGTGCAACTTTCACCAAGTAATTTAACTTCTTTGAGCCTCAGTTGTTTCATCTGGAAAAAGTAGAGATGGCTCCCAATTTATCTTGAGAAACAAAATTATAAAATAATCAAAATGGGAAAGTCTCAAAATGTAAATGTTATTCCCAATAAATATGGTGACAGGAAGAGGTTCTAAAGGGCAGGTCAAGTCACTGGGGGTTAACTTTGTAATGGTGCTTATGTATTTGTTCAACCCTTATGGAAGCTACAGTCTAGGCACCTTGAGGGAATGGGCTGAATCTTTGTTATTGCTGTATTCCCTGGTGCCTGTCTTAATGCCTGGTGTACGGTCTGCTTCAAGCTTGATGGAGCCTGATCCTTTCTTCCTATTTCTAGAGATATAGCCATTGTCTGGCTCTGTGTGATGAGGGTGGTTGTGTAGTATCACAAGCTAATGCATGCATGTTTTTACAGTAATGATTTGATTAGTGCAACTTCCTCTCTTAGTGTCAGTATTAAGCTGTGTTTCATTTTCATGTTGACATTTTCTAAAGATGGGCATATCTGCTCCTTTGCTTCATGACCTCTGTGATCCTTCAGACATCTTCTGTGTCTCTTTGGTAATATCAGGCCATCAGGTAAGTACTGCATATAGTGTGACATCAAGGCCCTAATAGGACTAGAACCAGTTTTTCTACCTTCACCTACCTCTTCAGTCTTCTTCTCCTTTACAGAAAAAGATAGATTAGGAAATGGAATTTTATTTTTTAATCTTGAACTGGGTATTTTATAATTCTTTTAAAATTTCTATCCAAACCTTCTTTCCTACTAGATTACAGATTCTTACAGATTCTTTCCTGGAATCTATCTAATGAATTTTATTCCCTTGTCAGCTCCACCAGAAAGTTGCCTCTGACATAGTCTGAAACCTGCTTGATATGCAGGGGTCACAGAATTGTTTCCCTGGCTCGGCATGATGGTTGTTGCATCTGTTCACCCACTAGACTGTGGGCTGCTTGAGAACAAGTTGCCTTTGTCTTAGCCTTCCTTCTATCACCATTACCAGCATGTAGGAGAAGCTCAGAGAAATCCAGTTTGGAAGCAGAAGCTTTGGATAAGTTGCCCTTTATTTTTCTAACTTGATTTAACTTGATTAGAAATTATTGCTGAAAACACACACACATACACACACACACATGATCTGTCTACTGTTTGTGGCTGCCATGGTGAACTTTCTCACCATTCATGCCAGATCTGATGGTACAAGAGAGAAGCTTTCCATGGTTACATGTGCTTCTAATATTGGGGACATAGATAGCTTATCTTTTATGGTAAAATAAAATTTGTTTACTACCCCAGAGTTAAATCTAAAATATACAGCCATCTCCTAGACCCAAGGAATATGTCTCCCTTGCTTTACAGTAATGGCATAGACAAGGAAGGAGCTAACAGACCTATTGCTTGGTTTTTATCTCCAGTTGTAATTTTAGCCTTTTTTGATTGGACCTTCTAGACATTTGCCATCCTTTCCTCTAGGACTGGTATTTTTGAAGATATCATTGCAAATACTTATTTGGCAAGTGTGAGGTCCACTCATCATACATAAGGTCTCAGCCAAGTTCTCTGAAGAACTCCCACACCTATCCCGATTCATGTTTTTCAGATTTTTTTCTTGCAAGAAGGCACTAGGTCTTAGTGAGATTTGGGAATTAAGGGTGTGAAGGCCTTCATGTGAATGACACAACTGGCAAATCTACCTTCTCCTACTAATCTATTAAATCTAAACTTCCTTCCCTGCAGAAGGTGAGCAACCCTATCTGGTATTCCACAGTGTCCCTCTGGGAAGCCTGGCATGAGTGCAAAGTGGGTCTGGATGTATGATGGGTTAGAGAGCCACCTCAGGCATGACTCAGCAAGGCAGCAGAGGCCACCCTGACTGGATTGTAGGATAGAAATCACACCTTGTTTTTCTTCTTGGAGGAAGTGTGTTGTGTCTCTTCTCAGGCTGATGAGATGAAGTTGCTCTGTGGCTCTGGCAGAGCCCAAGACAGTGAGTACTGGCTCAGGAGTGATACCAACGGGAAGCTAACTTTGAAGGTTCCATTTATATAAAGCAATAAGAAGAGTACTTACAACTGACAGAAGATGCTGGGTGTCCATTCCAGCATGTCTGTAAGACCCTTTCAGCTTCGACCTTTGATTGTCCTTTATGCTTGGCTTCCTTTTAACCCTGTCAGTTCCCTTGTTAAGGACTCCTATCCTTTCTAATCATTAAAATCTATACTAGAGCCCAGATAATTGATGTGTAAGTGGAAGAGCAGGCCTGCACAGGGCTTTCTCATCACTGTGGCAAGAACAATGGCACACAAACACATTACATTGGCTTCCCGGTCTAGATCTATAAATATATTTATTATAATATAACAAGAACTTAACAATAAACATATACTATGTACAATACCATTACAGAGAACCCTGTTTTATATCATTCACAGAAATAGCCAGTTTTGCTCCAGTGTGATAGATGAGGAGAGAAACGGAATTTCAATGTCATCTGTGTTGAGTCCTGCTGACCACTAACACCTCCTTTGGAGGCAGACGCACACCAACGCTAGCATTAGCCCTGCCCCAGGCAGTTAGAAATTTGTGCTCCAGTCCTTGGGTTCACACTTGCACCCTGTTTGACATAAATACTTTAAATGACATACAATGTATGTAGTTTTGTGCTTATTACTTTTAAAAATAATAAATAAGATTAAAAACTGCATAACGAAGCTCGGTATATCTTGTCCAAGTGGGAGCCACACTTTGTAGTGCTAGAAGTTGATGCCCGACATAAGAGTTGGGATATTGTGTCATCAAATACTGAGAGATGGGAAGCGTGTCCTGTCCTTTTCTCCTCGTAAATAATTTTATCGTGAAACGATGACGGCAAGTTGACTTCCCAGATATAAAAATGGTTAAGTGTGTATTTGGTACCAACTTCAAGTCAACAGCGCAGTGGCAGCATTCTTGCTGCCCTGGAATGGAAACTGATTGCCATGTGAGGTCTGAGGGTCTGAGGACTAGCAGGAAGGCCTTTCTCTTTCGAGCCACAGTGTGCCATCCCTCCTGGCTCCCCTTTTCTCAGGTTAATCTGCTACAAGAAGAGTGATTCTGCTCATGCCCATCAGGCCTTGGCTGTCATGGCTCGTTGAAGAAGGCTGTCCCCAACCTGAGCGTTCTTGCGGCAGGTGCCTTAATATATAGCTATAAATATCAAAAATAGTCTCCTGTGCTTTTATAGACATTTATTTCCCCGCCCTCCCTCCTTCCCTTCTCACCTGGCCTGGGTCCTCAGCTTTGCCTCACCGAGGGAGCTGCACTGATGTCATGAGCCAGAACTGGTTTCCTGCGGGAACAGAGTCTTCTTCTGTTGACAGTGCCTCTGCAAGGCACAGCTCTTATGGGGCTGTCTGGGAGTTGCTTTTTCTAAAAATAAAATGAGGGCATTTGCCCACCCCCCAGGAGAGCTCCTCTATTCTGCACATAGAAAAATTAGAGCAAATGCCCCATTCGGGCACTACCTAGCTTTGGGAATTTCCACATCATTATCCCTCTAGCGGCCCCCTCCTTCTCTCTGTACTTAAAAATAGCCTTTTGTTTATCAAGAAAATGCCTTGGAAATCTAAATAATTCATATTGAGTAACAGAAAGCTAGCACAATCCCCTTGTCCTTCTCCAGCAAAAACATGGTAGAAAAACCTGTGAAGGACAGACAGCTCTCCCAGCGCTGTCCCAACCACTCCCCTGCAGCACGGGTTCCAGCCACGCCCTGGCTCTGCACGGTTGCTGCTCCTGGTCCCCAGGGAGACCAGCAGCCTATGAGCCCTCTGGCCCCACAGTCTTGTCCATTGTTTTCTCTCAGCCACTGAAAGTGTGGATTGGTTAAAAACAAAAGTAGGAATCAAAGTGATAAGGCCACTTTGATCTTATTCCAAGAGAGCCTGATGCCTAGTATTGTCATAGGATAACTGATCTATGGTTGTTGAGGGATCAAGCTTGCTCTGCAGGAAGGAAAAAACAGCTTCTCTCTCCCAGTTGAAAAATATGTGAAACTCTATTGCACCGGGCAGAGTGAGTGCCTCCGTTCAGAGCAAGTGCCTCTGTGGGAGCAAGCAAGCCCCGTCTTGGTATGTCCATGGTTCCTGCTGCTCGTCTCGCCCGAAGGCGAGGATGATTTTCTACATTCAATGTAGAGAATATTCAAAATGTTTTGCGCAGTGATTCCTTGATTGCGTTTTGTTGGCCTCTTCTTGGGGTTGCCGGTAACTTATCATTCTGTATAGCATTTGCCTCACCAGACTTGTCCACAGTCTTGTCGTGGGCCTTCTGTTGATGTCAGCCGCTTTGAATATACTTCTTTATCACCACGCAGCCATGTCTAAACACAGGGCAGGGCATATGGGGTAAGAGGGTCCATGTGTTGGTTGTGGGCTCATAGGCTTCCATATTACCCAGGGCAGGCCCCTCGCTGCTAACGATGCCTCCAGTTGCATAAATCTTGCCATCGAGCACCACGGCACTGTCAGGGAGAAGCAGGAAGAGAGTTAGGCGTTTCACTTCCAACTTAGACTTGATTCTTAACCACGTGTCCTGTTGCAGGCTGCCTATACGGTTTTGCAGAGGTGGCACATGATCTTGCTGCCCTGCTTAGCCCTCTGACCTGAGATGAGATAAGAAAATCTCTTTCCTTCAGGGCCAATTAGGACAGCATGCTCTTACCTTCCAAACCACTGGAGACACCTATATACACTAGGCTTCCACAGACTCGCTGGGAGGTGGCTGGCCTCTGTGGAAAGGTTCTTGGCTCAGTTCACAGAGTTTTTATTGAGTATCTATCTTGTGTTGTACACCCAGAGCTTTCCTACAGCTTAGATCAAGTTGGGAGCACGACTCAAAAGGAAATTTGGAGAATGGTAATAAAAGTAATAAGGTGCTAAATCATAGTTGAACAGCAGCCACCTGATTGGGAACACCACCCCTGCCACGGTGATCAGAGCTGGGTCTTCCTTCTGTGTGACCTGGTGCTGCTACCTGCCCTTGACCACAAGGGCTGGGCACACTCTCTGCAGGGTTGCTGCTGGTTGCCCCAGGCCCCTTCTTTCCTGTGTGACACACTGCTTGGCCCCATTGTCTTGGTCAGCTCTTCCAGTCCTAAGAGCTCAGGAGTGCTCCCCTCTACACTTACTCCCATAATGAATTTCCTCCACCCTTTCACACTGACATCCAGTGACATCCAGATCTGTGTTTCTAATCCTGGCTCCTCTCTCATTTCAGTTACTGGCTATTTCTTCTTCACTGTCCCTGAAATCCAACATACAGCTTTTCAAGGTTCCATCCATTTCTGAAATTCTAAGCCTCAGGCAAAACATGTCAGTCTAGACTTCTTCAAGTCGATTCAGACTCACTGAGACCCCATGTGTTTCAGAGTAGAACTGTGCACTATGACCCTAAAGGTGCCAATCTTCTCTCTCATGGCTCCATGCCATCCGTAACTTGCATATTTCTCCCTTTGTGGCATATTTTTTCCCTGCTTCTCTTGCAAGACCCAGCTTGAATCTGTCTTCTGGCATTAAGTCTTCCTCACCCGCTTTTGGTCTCAGATGAGGCTTGGGAGTCCTCTCCACAGTGGTGCTCAATACTCCTGTTGTCTTGATCACTGGACACTTGAGTCAGACTTTGCCCTGCGTGCTATCCACATGTAGAGTGTGTAACACAAAAACTAAGATGGAAGATTATAGAATCTTCCTGTGAATAGGAACTTAGCTGTTAATGTGGTCTTGGCCTGTTTTGTAGACAAGAGAACTTCCCCAGAGAGGCTAAGTGATTTGTCCAAGGTCACATGACAAGTTTAGTAACTAGGTATAAAATTCAAAACCAAACTCATTGCCATTGAGCCGATTCCGACTCATAGCAACCCATTTTGGGTTTCCAAGGGGGTAAATTTTTATGGAAATAGATTGTCCCCTTTTCCTTCTGCAGAGCGGTTGGTGGGTTTGAACCACCAATATTCTGGTTAGCAGTTAAATGCCTTAGACACTGCACCACCAGAGCTCCTAAAGCTATACCTTTTTAGGTATAGCTACACAAAGGGTGGGCATTCATTAATGCTGAATGCTGCTCACATATTAAGGATTCCGTGATCTTCTACTGCATAGGCACAAGGTGCCTTAGGAAGGTTCTGCTGTGAAAATGCTGATAGTGGGTTTCCTAGACCCCTTTTCATTCCTTGTTTCTCTTAATCCAGGAAGGGCTGGGGCTAAAACGGCAGGGACTGGTGTCTCACTTCCCAGGATAGTAATTTTTTTCTGGGCCGTGGAGCCAAGTAGACTAGGAACTAAACCAGACCTTGATCTCTCTCCCCCTCTTCCTGCAGGGGCTGGTATGTGTGTGTGTGTGTTTGTTTAGTTAGCCTCTTGAGAATCTAGGCCATCTGTGCCCTGTGCCACTCACTGGGGCCAGGCCATCAGGATCATGTGTGTGATCACAGCTTTCCTCAAGAAGTCACCTGTCCCATGCATGGTATTGCCCAGCTCTTGACTGGTGTTTCTGTCCATCTGTGATGGGGCAGCTGTCCTGGAGGAGAGCTGACTTCATAGCACCACCCTCACCTCTTACTGGGAGGAGATCTGGTCTTGAAGGACCTAGGCCTGGTGGCTTTAGGAAACACTTCATTTCTGACTTTGAGATGGGTTAGCTGGAGTGACAAGGTTGGGCTTTCGGGCCATGGGCTGCCCTTGGGTGCTGCATGCTCTGCTCTGCAATGTCCAATGCCTGTGGTGGATGGGGACCCAAGCTGCACTGCTGTGGGCTGGGAACTGGGGCAGGATGTGGAATTTGGTCATCTGTGGGTAGTAAATCATTGTGATAAAACCCCTTCTGTTGTTTCTACTTCCCCACCCACCTCCTTCCCTCCCCTAGCTGAGTCCTGCAGCCCCCTCACCTGCAGAACTGGCGAGAGTGATTCATGTTTGGGCCCGCCTTAATGTTTCCTTTTTCAGGGTCGTAGATGGTCGTAGCTCTGGCATAAGCCCCACCCAGGATAAAAACGAAGCCATTGAGGGTGACAGCGGGAGCATACTTGTTGTCTGTGAAGAGATCAGAGCAGTTAGGTCACGGCATCTCTTCTTCGCCTTCCCTCCCATCATTCCCAATAGGCACTCCAGGGGAAGGGGGCTGAAAGACCTCCAGGAAGTCACTAATTGGCCTGAGGACAAAGCCTGGGGCCAGAAATCACTGGGACCAAAAGTCACTGGGACCATAGCTTGCCCTTTCTCCAGGTCATGGGTCCACAGCTGCATCTGAGGCGTGAGTTTTGCCTCCACCTCAGACCTCCGTCTGCTGAACTCTTGGGCTTAGCCTGACTTCTGTGCTCAGGACATTGATAGTGAATAGAGCAATGAGATGGAGGTGCGATACTGGCCCTAGGCTGAGGAGACAGCTGGTGCTCACCAATCATTGGGGACTCAATAAAGCTCCACGTGTTGGTCTGTGGAACATAAGACTGGAGGACTCCTGCAGCTCGGCCTGCCTCATTCACCCCACCAAACACGTAGATCTTGCCACCACACACGGTGGCTGCTGCAGAGTGCACTGCCTTGGGAAGAGGGGCCACTGCCTCCCACTGGTTGGTGATGGTGTCATACCTGCACAGAGAAGAGAAAAACAAAACAAACAAAAAAACCTACACTCGGTCAAAGATGCACCTTGTGCAGGGCACAGCCACAGCAGAGGGCAGCAAATATTTGTGGACACCAACCATTTACTGCTTCCTGACCTTGGCATCTCTGGCCTAGTCTGAGACCACAGCACTGGGGCCACTTGGGATAAGCCACATAAGGCCTCCTATTATCTGGCCCAAGAAGTTCTGGTGGCACAGCGCCTAAAGCATTGACTGCTAACCAGAAGGCTGGCACTTCAAACTCACCAGACACTCCGTAGATGAGACAATCTGCTTTACAGCCTTGGAAACCCAGTGGGGGTCACTATGAGTCAGAACTGATGGTAGTGGGTTGTTTTTTATTTTATTATCTGGTCCAAACTAGCCTCTCAGCCTTCTTCAGCCTCAGTGGGGCTCTTTTCTGCCTGTTAAAACCTCTATGTAAGTTCTTGTCTCTATACATTTGCTCACACTGTGCTCCCCATCTTCCGGGCCCCTTCAGCCCTCTCCACCCAGCTTGAACCTATCTTTTTTTTTTTTTTTTTTTAATTGTGATTTGGGTGAAAATTTACAGAGCAAATTCACTTTCCATACAGCAGTTCACATACACTTTGTCTCATGACATTGACTACAATTTACCCCAATGCAACAACTCCCCTTCTACTTCCTCCCAACAGTCACCTCTTCCCTGTGTCCATCCCTCCCTGCACTCCTGCCCCTGAGCTGTCTCCCTGTGCATAAGCAGCCCTTCTTTCTCCCATGATTGTTCTCTCCAAGGAGTGTATCTACCTCAGGTAAATGTTCAACTTATATGCCTGTCTTTTGTTTGGCTGGAAGCCACAGGTGTGGGTTCAATGCCAGACCTGAAGGGCAGCTGGGGGCCATAGTCTCAGTGGTTCCACCAAGCTCTATCAGACCAGTAAACCTCGTCCCCCACCCCCTTTTTTTTTCCAAATGATTTTGAGTTTTGTTCCACATTATTCTCCCTGTCTATCCAAGACTTCCTACATAGATCCTCCTCAGAGTGGTTGACAGTGGTAGCCGGGCACCATCTAGTTTTGGTCTCATAGTCGTATAGGCTGCAGATTGCATGGTGTACCCGTCACCAGGACTAATTGTTTCCATGAATCTTTGGTTTTCTTCATTCTTCTTTGCTCTGGATGAGGAGAGACCCATTGTTGTATCGAGATGGCTGCTTGAAAGCTTTTAACATCCCAGTTTGCTACTTGCCAAAGTAGGAGGTGGAACAATGTTTTGTGTAGTATGTTATGCCAATTGAGCTTGATATCCCCTGCCACTATGGTCCCGAGCTCACCAGTTCAACTACTCAGTCCCTCTGGGTAGCTGGCTGTGACCAAGAAGTGACTAGAACCTTGTTCCCTTGTCAGCTCTACTGTATACCTGGGAATTCTTACAGATCATACAAATACACTTATAGGGCCATTGTCTGCCAACCCTATACATGCAGACCTATCTTTTTATTCAGCAGTCCTGCTCTACGCCTCTCCTGTATACCCAGGCTTTATACTGTAAACAGGATTAATTAAGTAACATTCCTGCCCTCAAGGAGCTTATAGTCTAGTGGGGGAACAGCCAAATGAAACACAAAGAACAATTGGCAGGATGATAAGTGTATGACAGGTGAGAAAACAAAGTTGTACAAGGAAGGGGCCACCTGGCCTGCTCTAATGGGTCAGGTCAGACTTCCTGGAGGAGCAGATGTCTGTGCTGGGCCTTCAAGTATGAATAAGCTACTAGCTAGGTGAATGGGGCCACCACTCATCTGTCAGTTTGTCATACTGTGGTGGCTTGTGTGTTGCTATGATGGAACCCGTGCTACCAGAATTTCCAGATTAAGATAGATTAGGAAGAAGGGCCTGGCACTCTGCTTCCAAAAACTGGCCAATACAATCCCTATGGGTCACAACAGAACATAGTCTGCTTGAGTGCTGGAAGATGAGCCCTGGTTGGAAGGCACTCACCATACACAGTGGCCACAGCACTGGACTCAAGCATGTCAGTGGTCATGGAGATGGTGCAGGACTGGGCAGTATTTTGTTCTGTTGTACATGGGGTTGCCATGGGTTGGAGCTGACTCATATCAACTAATAGCAACAGGTAAATGGGGAGCAAGGGCTGGGCGCAAAAGAATTGCAGACAAAGGGAGAATTGTGGAAAAGTGGCATTTGGGGGGAAATTCATAGTAGTTCAGAATGGCTGGAGGCAGGGAGTAGTTGGGAAGGGCTGTGTGTGCCAAGCTAAGGGCTTTGGAGTTTATCTAGGGGGCAACACTCTGAAAGCAGGGAATTAACATGATCAAATTTGAATTCCAGAGAGATCTCTGTGGCTACAATGTGGAGAATGAACTAGAGTAGGAGGCTTGAAGTAGGGGGATTGATGAGGGTAGTTTACAGGAAGCTTGCTGAGAAGTGATCGTGACTTGGAGCAAGGGGTGACAGGAGTGTGAGGAAATGGTAGTGGAAAGAGAAGTGAATCAATAGGATTCCATCATCAGTTAAATGTTGGAGTTGGGAGGGAGATAGTTGCCAGGATGACTCTGGGGCTCTGGCTTGGGAAACTGGATGGAGCAGCCATGCTGGTGGGGAATAGAAGTACCCAGACCCACTGCCACTGAGTTAATTCCCACTCATAGCAACCCCCATTGGGTTTCCAAGGCTGTAAATCTTTATGGAAGTAGATTGCCTCATCTTCCTCCCGTGGAGCAGCTGGTGGGTTTGAACCACCAGCCTTCTGCTTAGCAGCCAAATGCCTTACCTACTATGCCACCAGGGCTCCTTAAAAGAAGTACAGGTTGGGGCAATTTGGGGGAGAATTATTTTATTTAATTAATAAAACAAGAAAAGAATACAAACCTGTTGCTGTTGTGTCAACTCTGCCTCATGGCGACCCCATGTGTAACAGAGTGGCTCTGTGGCCCCATGTGGTTCTCTTGGCTGTAACCTTTATGAAAGCAGATTGCCAGGCCTTTCTTCCACAGTGCCACTGGGGGGGGTTGAACTGCCAACCTTTAAGTTAATAACTGATCACAAACCAATAGCACCACCTAGGGACCTGAGTTTTATTGATAGCGAGTTTAAATTATCTGGGCAACAAATTGGGCATGTCCAGCAGACAGTGGGCTATGTAGGACTGAATGAAATGTTCAGCTTTGGGATCATTGGCACATAGATGGAAAGTGAAGAAAAGGAATTATAGTTCTCTAGGGAGAGTGGGTGGACAAGGTCAAGGCTAAGGATAAACATTGAGAAATGCTAATATTTAGAGGGAGCTCCCTTTTGGGAGTGGCCAGAGCTACCAAAGCCAAGTATGGAGGATGTGATTAGAAGACAAGAGGGGGATTGGAAGCATCTTATTTTCATTCTCAGGTCACCGGTGGTTTTGTCACAGCCACTTGAAGTGGAATGGGAGGTGCACAGGCTATTTGTGCTTAGAGGAATGAAGGGGTGGCAAGGGGCTAGCAACACTGGTATAGGTTTCTCTTGGAAGAAACGTAGCTGTGAAGGTGAGCAGAGAAGGTGGGCTCTAGAGAGGAATATGGCGCTAAGGGAGGAGTGGTGGGTTGGGAAATGGCTAACAACCAGTTCTTCAGGGACAAAAGCCCTGGTTTGTAGCATTTGCTAATATCTGAGATGTAAATCCTCCTACCATTGCCTATTTTAAGTTACCAAAGTGACGTCACCAAACACAGAGTTGGGGAGAGATGCACAGTAGGGCACCATTATATAGAATTTCTACCATATAAAGACACAACAAGGAGCCCTGGTAGTGTAGTGCTTATGTGCTTGGCTGCTAACTGAAAGGTCAGCAGTTTGAACCCACCAGCCGCTCCATGGGAGAAAAGACCTGGTAATGTGCTCCCATAAAGATTAAAGCCTAAGAAACTATGGTGGGGCAGTTCTCTTCTGTCCCACAGGGTCACTATGAGTTGGAGTCTACTGGACAGCATCTAACAACAACAACAGACACAAGAGACATACAGCCCATAAACAGCGTCAATTGCAGTCAAATGTAAACATTTAGGAAGTGATGAGTTTTGAGCATTACCTTTGTTTTTAACATAATTTCTTTAATTATGTGTTTATAAAATTTAATTTTTAATAATGGCTTAACAACTGGCTCTCAGAATTCCTGAAAATTTAACAATCGGCTATCACAAGCCAGTATGAGCCAGCTCTATCACACCATTACTTTGTCTTACGTTTAGGTAGGAAAGGCTCAGTTGTGTTTATATGCTGATAAGGGGGAGCTCAACTGGAAAAGGAAGGAAGGAATATAAATGCAAGAGAGAGGACAACTATAATGCAAGGCTCCCAGGAGGCGGATGCCAATGGAATGCAGAGTGGGAAGGGGAAGCTGTGTCCATTTGGGTGAAAGAGGAAGACAAGGCTAATGTGAATGGAGGTACATTGTGGGAGTGATGATGGCAGGAAGTCAAGGGAGTTCTTAAATGATGGTTTTCATTTTCTCTGTGAAGCAACAGTCACAGTTGTTCAAAGCATTGGGGGAGAGTATTGGGAAAGGGCCCTGGGCACTGCCAAGGTTAACACACTTGGCTGCTACCCAAAAGTCTCGGGTTCAAGTCCACCCAGAGGTGCTCCGAAAAGCTACCCAGAAAACCCTATGGAACACAGCTCTACTCTGTCACACATGGGGTTGCCATGAATTAGAACTGATAAATGGCAACTGGTTTTATGAGGTTAAGAGATTGGAGGAGAGAGATAAAGATGAGAAATATATGCTCTTGAGAGAGGGAGAAATTGATGACAAGGGGAACTGAAAGATTGCCATACATCAAGGACATGTAGAGGCTGGAGCCCTTAAAACTGTTGTGGGGCCAAATGACAAGACTGATTTTCTCCATGAGTCGGATGACACAGATCCATATGCAGAAGACAGATCTGCGTGGTGGACTGAGCAGAATGGCAAAGTACGAGGATGAGAAAAGTGATGGAACAGACAAGAAGGTGAAAACAGGAAGCAGGTGACAGTGAAGGACAGCACTTGGGTTCAGCAGAATGGCCGAGGAACTGGAGGGCTTTCTGCATTGCAGCTTGAATCTCAGTTCTCAGCCTCTGGCAGTTGTTCCCTGAGGGCTGCCCTTCAATGTCAGCCAATTGTTTCTGGTGGGCTGAGGAAGGGCTCAGGCCCCCTCAGGGGAGCCTATTGACCAGAATCCTCATCTATTGGGTTTCTCGAGGGGGTCTTCCTCACACTGGGCTTGACTGGTGTTTCATAGCTGGAGAATTAACCCCCCAGAGAAGACCAATGCTGACCACTCTACCTGCTCTCCTAACTCTGGTTCCCTCAGCACTTACTTAGCTGCACCGCCCAGGTGGAAGGCACCTCTAACACTTACCCTGTGGTTCACTACCGTACTGTGTATGTTTCTGGACTTGAGGTGGGGTCTCCACTTGCTGCCAAGCCACCAGTGTGGCTTTCTCCCCAGCACACATTTTTTTCAGGAGTCCCTGGGTGGCATAAACGGTTAAGCACTTGACTATTAGCTGAAGGATTGGAGGTTCGAACCCACCCAGAGGCACTTTGGGATCTGGTACCTCTGGTAATCTGCTTGTGAAAGGTCCCAGGCTTGAAACCCTACAGAGCAGTTTCTACTCTGCACACATAGGGCTGCCATGACTCGGAATGAACTTGAGGGCAGCCACCACCACCTCGCTGGGTCTCCCTTTTCCTGGGCTCCTCCTTTGGATCCTAGCCAGAACTCGGCCACAGCTCAGTGCCATGCAAGATGGTCTCACTCAGCCTGTGGCTCCAAGGGTGTGGGGTGAGGGGTCGACTGATTGACGTCTAGCCCTGTGCTTCTGAAGACTCAGGATTTGAGAATTACTGAAAGGGCAGCAGGAGCTGATTCAATTAAGCCACAGACGAATGATAGGTGGCTAATATGCAATGGAGTGAGTGTCTTTTTGGACAGTGTCAGAAGTTCAGATATCTGTTTTTTAAGCCACTGTGGCAGAGCTCCAAAGAGCCCCTGCAGAAGGAGCTGGGAGACGGTGGAAGATTATTGGCTGTTAGTCCTCAGTTTTTCGGTATAATGGCACATTTCGCCAAACACGAATTTCCTGAAAGCTTGTTATTCCAGGTGGCTGATTGCCAAACCACAAACCCTCCCGTCAGCTCAATCTGTCAGCTTCCTACTTGAGGATATGCAAATGATATGCAAATGACCCCGTGGAGCGAGGTGCTTGGCTATCATTTATCCAGTAACCATAGCTCCTGCAATATATTGCTATAAAATATTAGACCCAGTTATTTATATAATGATATAATACAGTTTTGTCTATTGCACTGTTGTTTTAATCTATAATTATATAATCTTGCTCCATTCCTGTAATACAGTAATGCAATATAATTATAATGCACCATATATCTCATTCATTATCAATATAATAACAATTTGTATCATTAGCATCTCCTGGAGACTAAAGTACCCTAGTGTCTGTCCCCATTATCCTGACCTTCTTGTTACCCTGAATTCACATCATTGCAACCATGTTGCACAGAAATGGACTTCCCCAAAGGGGCACCAGATATGTTCCTTGGAAAGTAGTGGGTGAGCAACAAATCCCTCTTCCTCTGCACCCTGCACCCACTTGCCTGCACACCCACTGTAGTCTTCAAGTCTGGGCTCTGGTCTCTACAATGCCAGCCGATTGATTCTAGTGGACTGAGGATGGGCTCAGGCCCCTCCAGGGCACCGTTAGCCCAGACTGCTCATCTCCTGAGGTTTCCAAGGGGGTTGTGGTCACATTGGACTTGAGCTTGAGGGCCTAACCCCCTGGGAAGGCCCATGCAGACAACTGTACCTGCTCCAGGACCAGGAATGAGAGGAGAGGAGCTTGTCCCCACCTCTTAGCTGGTGCATTCTGATCCTCGAACAAATCCCTGTATTTATCAACAAGTATAAGTTCACAAAATGAATAATCAGCATTTTAGGAGATTAAAAATAGCTGACAAAAGCAAGACAGGATGACAGATCTAGCTCAGTTTACTCCTACATAGAAAATGTCTCCTTATTAATGTATTTATTATTGGATGACAAATGGTTAGAAGCTGGTGCTTCCAGAAGGCTTTGGGGCATGGGTGGCCGTGCCGTGGGGTCACAACGCAAGCTGGTCCAGGCTCAAAATAGTATTAATATCTTCATCATCACATGGGGATTCCCCATTATCTCCAAATCAATATGACAATTAAATGTTACTGAGCCATCTCTGGGCTCCACTTGGGGGAGTTAAAAGCCCACAATGAACATTCAGATCTGTCTCACTTTGAAACCATCTTTGCTGTAACATTTGTCAAGTGTCCAATTAGCCACAGAGGGAAAAAAAAAAATTACAAATTGAGGGGTATGTGTGTCTTGACAGGCAAAAAGATGTCACATGGAGGGATGTGCTCTCTGGTGGCAGCTGATGACTTGGGCTGGGTGACAAGGTAGGGTGCAGGAAGGACATGCGGAGAAGGTGCTAGTTATGTTAGCTGTGACTTCTGGGTTGTACCATGGGGTCAGGTCAGCCCAACATGTCACTCTCTGGGGCACTGAAATCCAAACCGATTCTGTTGTCATCGCATCGATTCCAACTCATGGCGACCCCATGTGTTACAGAGTGCAACTGCATCATAGGGTTTTCTTGGCTGTAATGTTTATGGAAGCACCATGGCCAGGTTTTTCACCCACAGTACCACTGGGTGGATTCAAACGGCTTTTAGGTTAATAGTCAAAGGCAAACTGTGCCACCCGGAGATTCTGGGGCACTAGTTTCTCCCAAAGCAGGACTATGCTGATGGCTCCCTTAGGCTTCCATTCTCCCCAAGAACACTGTCTCTGGCTCAAAAGAAGAGGATTTCGTATTTCTACCCAGAGAAATGCCCACTTCCAGCCTTTGCCTACCATGTGAGGAAGCTGCCTAAAACTGCCAGCAGAGGGCAGGCTTCCACACACGGTTTTCAGGCCCTTTGGTTTATATTTTCTTCTGGAGAATTCTAGAGGCTTGGTCAGTCCTGGCTGTCCCCCAAAATTGCTTCCTTGGTGTGCAGTGACCCTACCCTGTTTTACAAACTGATTTCCTGGGATGTGTGGGATGGAGGGAGGAATGGAGCTCCTGATGTGTAATGTGCTTGCAGGGACAAAGATGATCCTACCGCTGGTGTGGCACACATTTTGGCCATCATTTCTAGCTTTACCCCTAAACTCAGCAAGTCTCTGGGCAGGTGCTCTGTTCCCAGTATGTTCTCACTGCCTGGCCAGTCTAGTCAAGTACATCCTGTGCCTTTACATGATTGGATGTTGTGCCTCTAGCTTGTCTGACATGAAATAGGATGCTGGGACAAGAGTGAGCCATCTCAGTCATTGGGGAAGGCCGACACAGAGCTCATCCTTCCTGCTTCCATCTTGCTCACCCACACTCTTCACCCTTTGTTTTGTTTGAAGGCCCTGGGATTGATCATTGCCTTATGAGTGTTCCAGTCTTGAGTCTGTCTCAACTGGGCAGGTGTTGGGGGATCAGGAGGGATGTGATTTTAGCTTTCAGTAAACATAGGACCATAACCTCATTACCTCTCCACATGGTCCACATTGCCTGCCACGCCAAGTCCCCCGAGGGTGTAAATCTTTCCATCGTAGACAAGGCTATTGTGCCGACAGCGGGGGACAGTCATTCTGGAGACGAGGTTCCAATTATCAAGCAGGGACATATAGCACCAGACATCAGCCAGCGTCACCCCTGATTCCATCCCACCTGTAGGCCATATGGGTGACAGGAGAGCAGACAGGGAATGAGGAATAGCCCGAGGCTGGGCAGGCCCAGCCCGGGGTTAGAAGGAGAAGGCTTCACCTGTGAAGTAGACATTTCTGGGTCTGGCCTTCCTCAGCCCTGACAAGTGGGGAGAAGTCCCCTTGGGAAACCCATGCCCAATCCCCAACCCAGCCCTGAGGGGTCTCACCTGAGAGGTAGATGTTGTCCCCGGCACTCACTACACTGAAGAACTCACGGTCATAGAAAGGGAGCGAGGCCAAGGGGTACCACTTGTTGTTCTGTGGGTTCCAGCAGGTGACAGCCACCAGTGAGCGCTGGGTCATCCCCACCATCTGACGGCCCCCAACCAAAACGATGACCTCAGCCACACCTGCAGGGACAAAGATGGGCACCCTTGGGACACACCCCAACACTGCCAGCCTCTGCCTGGTATCTCTCTGGGGGACCACTCAGAGTCTGGCTGACCCCACACCACCTGCATTTGGGGGGGTTTGGGGCATGTTTCTTGATACCTGCCGAGAGGCGGGGTCGGGTCCGGGGCGTCTGCATCTCCTGGCGAGCATGGGGCAGCATATGGTAGCGTTTGGCCTCATTTACTAAGTCCCGACAAGCTTCTGATGACTTGATCAGCTCCTCGTTGTCAACCACATTGAGCAGGTAGCTGGGGTGGATGAAGGGGAGGCGGACTACTGCCAGGAGCTCAGCTGCATACTGCAGGGTAAAGGAGACACTAAATCTTCATACATCCTAAAGAGGGACCTGCCTCTTGTGAGTTGTATTGAGAAGAGAGAAGGGAGAGGTGTGGGAGTACACAAAGCGGATAATTCCAGGTTGTATTTGGTTTGGGAGGTTAGACAGCCTGCTCACCCTGGTCTAGAATGGGTGCTCAGATCAGCTAGAGGTGAGGAGGGAAGAGAGGGAGAGGCCTGGTATGCTGCAACTCACCCTGGGTGGACCACCCACTCATTGCATTCATCTCTTCAGCCCCTCATTCCTTCACCCCACCTAGACCATGGACCTCTGCTTCATGTCAGGCAGTGCTCCAAGTGGGACTGAAATGAGGAGGACTGCTTCTTGAACAGGTGCAAATGTGCAAGACACATGGAGTTGCTCCAAAGAGTTTCTTTCTTGGGAACCAATGCGAGGAGATGGTGACCATGCAGCTTATACCTCACAACTGTCAGAAACTGTGTCTCCTCAACACCATTGGCATCCCATTGCCTTAAACTCACACCTGGGCCCCCTCACCCTCTGCTGAAGGCTTTTCATAGACTTACTGGAACCTCCCCTTCTTTCTGGCAAACTCTACTCCCCACTCCACTTTAGTTTCACTCAACTGATGACCACCACTGTGTGTCACTCATTGCACTTGTTATTGGGGTCCAAAGATGAGTAAGATTTAATCTCTGATCTTGAAGGGTACACAGTTCAATGAAGGTATTGTTTCTTACGAGGCAATAGCGGAACACGGAGGAGGAGTCTAGTTGGGTATAAAGCATGCAGAATCAGAGGCTTCACTGAATAGATGGCATCTGAACTGGGTGTTGAAGGGTTGTTTTTGTTAGCTGCCCATGAGTCAGGCCCCAACTCATGTGTGAGCGTGTGTCCATGGGACTGGATTGTTGTGATCCGTAGGGCTTTCACTGGCTGCTTTTTCAGAAGGAGATCACTAGGCCTGTCTTCCTAGTTTGTCTTCGTCTGAAGCTCTGCTGAAACCTGTTCAGCATCATAGCAACACACAGACCTCCACTGACAGACAAGCAGCAGCTGTGCTTGAGGTGCACTGATTGGGAATCGAACCTGGCTTTCCTGTGTAGAAGGCGAGAATCTTGCCACTGAACCACCATTGCTCTTATTGAGGGATTTCTGTCACCTGTTGCCTTTGAGTCGATTCTGACTCATAGTGACCCTATAGGACAGAACAGAACTGCTATAGATTTTCCAAAGGAGCTCTGGTGATGCAGTGCCTAAGGCATCTGACTGCTAACCAGAAGGTTGGTGGTTCAAACCCCCCAGCTGCTCTGTGGAAGGAAGATGGGACAATCTACTTCCATAAAGATTTACTGCCTTGGAAACCCAGTGGGGGTCACTGTAAGTCAGAATCAACTTGATGGCAGTGAGTTGTTGTTGTTGTTGTTTTTTAATAGAGTTTCCAAGGCTGTAATCTTCATGGAAGCAGAGTGCCACATCTTTCTCCCATAGAGCATCTGATAGGTTCAAACTGCCAACTTTTTGGTTAGCAGTGGAGTGCTTAACAACTGTGCCACCAGGGTTCCTTGTTGGAAGCACTGATAGACTCAAATTAAATTTGTTTTCTTGTTGGATACAAAAAATTTTTGTTGGGGGAGAGGGTTGGGGTGTTGGGCAGGGAGAATGCGCCTGGAGAGGTTAGCAGAGGCCAGGTCCTCTCATGCCATGCTTGGTAAGGATTTTGTAGTTTATTCTGTGGAGTTGATGAGCAAATTAATGAGGACTTTTAACAGAGAACTTACATAATCAAATTTGCTTTTTAGAAAGACCATTCAGGCTGCAGGATAGAAAATGGATTCGGAAGAAACAAGATGGAAGCAAGGGAACCACCTAGGAGATGACTCTAGTGATTCTGATGAGATTAGGGAGGCTTGGCTGGCAGAGAGAAGTAGACCCATTTAAGAGAGAGAATGGAAGTAGAAATGACCAAATGGATGTGGAAGGTGAGAAAGGAATCTAGATTCTTCTCTTGGGTAATGGGAGGAACTGAAATAAGGAACACAGGAAGAAGTATAGGCTTGGGGCTTGATGAATTAGAGAGGTTTAGGGGGCATCCAGAGGGAGTTGTCTGGTAGGTAATTGAAGATACTGGTCTAATGCTCAGGAGACCAATCTGGGAGGAGATGGAGATTTGTGTGTTTTAGTGAATTGTGGCAGTGACTATTATTAGTTGCCCAACCTAATTTCCATCCTCAGACAATAAATCTTGCCCCTCCTCACCTGATTAGTCAGAGAACCACATTCTCCTGGACTCAGTGACTGGTCCACGGTGGAGCACTAGCTCCATAACCTATATACACACAATACTCTGGATTCCAGCACCTGGCCCATCTCGCCCTTCCTTGTCCCTCTTCTGGCTCCCAATGCAACAAATTAGTCCTTCTCATCTCTCCTTCAGCTGTCTCAGCTCATTCTGGGCTTGGGTCTTCCTCATCCCATTCTTCCTGGTTGGGTCCTCACTTCTGGGCCATTGTCACCATCCACTGGTCTCTGGGTGGATTCTGGGCTCTCTGAGAATTCTCCATGCAGCTGTACTAATTTCTAGTGTCCTCACATGTTAGAACCCAGGCATTTCTATTCTGAGCTGGACTTCCAGCCAGTGCTTTCTGGCCAGCAGTGGTTCCCTGCCTCAGGACCTCACCGGGGGGCACTGCCCTCCTTTCCTCCCTTCTCTGTGCTTCGGCTCTGAGTCTGCACCTGTCCTCTCACCCTCTCCTGGCATGTTTGCAGTGGTTGCCCATCTCCCACATGGTTTCCACTTGGTCCTGGTACTCTCCATCCTCTCAGCAACCAGGGTATGGTGGGGCTCAGACAGACACTTCTCCCTGCAGGGCCCTGATACTACCCCACTTGGGCCCTGTGGCTTACTGGTTGGCTTGGGTTCTCCTTCTGGGTAAAGTTCCAGCTCTCAAGAATCCTCTGGGGTCTCCTTTGGAGATTCTCACCTCTAAACCTCCCTTCAACTCTCTGCTGCCCACCCGAGAGCTTTTCAGTTTCCAGGGGCCTCCAAGATGCTGCAGTTTCCCTCTCCCAGGACCCATTGACCTCCCTCTACTGGTCAGACCAGGCCTCCTTTCCTGACCTTCATCCCTGTTGTGGTGCAGTGAATTACTTGGTATGGCTCTCCTAGCCATGGCTTTTGTGACTCCCGTCGGATTTTTGGGAGGAACTATGCAAATATAAGAAGATTGGATAGCTAGTGAGTAATGTAAATAAGGTACATGGCACCTTTGTAGGGGTGGGGCCATGCAAATAAGGTGTATGGAACTCTAATATGGGGATTGGTTAGTCACTCTGGTAGGCTGAAAATGAGCCCTATTAAAGGTAGAAGGGGGATCTCACTGCTACCAAGTGAGAAGAGTTGGAGTTGGAGTGGAGCATGTCCTTGGACCCAAGATCCCTGTGCTGCACCTCCTTGGCAGAGACAACCAGCAGAAACCAGTGGCCGGGGAACCAAAAGGGATGAGACAGTGGTGGGCTTGCTGGCCCACAGAGCAAGAAAGCTGAGTATCTTTGGCCAAGAGACTTGCTGGTGGAGTGGGGTGCACCTAGGTGCCTCTCTCAGCAGGGCTAAAAGAGCTTTGTAACACTTGCCCAAGCAGGACAGAGGCCAGGCTGAGAGGCCAAGGGCCAGAGAGGCGTGCCTGAGGGGATAGCAGAGGGGAGACTGTTCTGATCGAAGAATTGTATCCTGAGTGCATTCCCAAACCTGAATTGTAGTCTGTTACTTCCCTAATAAACCCCATAATTGTGAGTATTGTCTGTGAGTTCTGTGGGGCCAATGCAACAAATTATTGAGCCTAGCAGAGAGGTAGTAAGTGCCATGGCAGAGATAGTTGGTTTCAGAATTGGTAAAAAGGCTGGAGGGTGGGCTGGAGGGTGGCGGTATGTCTGACCTCATTGGAATAAGCCTTTGACTGCTGATGGTGATTTTCTCTCCTGTGTGAAGTCAGAGGATGTCAGAAGATGCTGCCCCCATGTCCTTTTTGCACTGCTCTAGACCCCACAACTGCCACTGTGCCCCCAGATGAACTGGAGAAGTGGCAGGGCCGGGGGCAGGCCTTTTACCTGTGCACGGGATGCAGGGTCCTTCTTGATCCACTTGATGACAGTCTCATACACCAGCTCCTCGGCCTTGGTGTTGAGGCTGTCATTGGAGATGTAAGCGATGAAGTCATCCTTGGAGATGCTGAGGATCTCCTCCTGGGCCGCCACCTCGGGGAAGATCTGCAGCGCAAAGGCCTTGGCCATGTGGTAGAGTTCACTGCACTGCATAGCCTCGGCCATGGCCAGCACCCCCAGGCAGTTGCTGGCTGTCAGCTGCTTCTCTGGGGGTGAGAGTGCAGGGTCACTGACCAAAGGGCCTTGAAAGGGGTAACCACTATTCCTGTTGCCAGATGCCTCTCTGGCCCGGTGTCCTTGTGAGCTCACCTCCAGCATTCCACTCCTCATTCTTTCCTTGGTTTCCCTCTGCCCCATCTCACACTGACTGTCCCTGGGCCTCCCTCAGCAACTGCAAGTCCTACTGAAGGACCCAGACAGCCATCTCAGACCTTCCTCATTGCCTCATCCATTGTGAAGAGGAGGCATAGATCCTTACTACCTGGGCCAGGGGCCCACAGAGACTTGTAGTGTCTTCCTAATTGTGATAGGTATGTCTGAGGTGTCAGACTCTTTCTTTACAGTCACGTCAACAGTAGCACCCCTCACATGCCTGCCCGCTATCTCCCACATGTCTCAGCCTCACCTGACCTGACCCTCCAAAATCTGGAGGCTGGCCAACTCTCTAGAGATTTTTTTTTTTTTGGCATGCTGTTTCTCTCATCTGTTGGGAAATAAGGCCAAGTCCTCCATCCATGCTTTTGCATGCAATACTCAGAATTATCACCTTCAAAGACCTTTGTGAGATCCAGCCACACAGACCTCCTTTCCTAATCACTATTGTTTTACAAGTTTTTGCTAATCTGCTGCCACAGTGCCCTACCCCTCACCCTCCTGCAACCACCCGTAGCCGCACATGCACTTGGGGCTTACCAAGAAAGGACACACAGACTTTACAGAAGGTGTGGAACTGGAACTTGCTGGCTGCCTCCAGCAGGGTCTTGGCGTTGGCCGAGTCGATGACCAGGGATCCCGTGTAGACAAACTCCAGCAGCAGTTCCAGGACATCTGCCTGCAGGTTCGACAGGACCAGCTCCAGCTTCTCCCGGCCTCCCTGGCCACCATCTCGCATGGACCTAGGCACAGAGACCAGGGTGTCCTTACCTGCTGGCTCCCGCGGCTGCGGCGCCACTTTCTCACAGGGCTAGGTCTCCCTGCACACTTCGGTCACGCCCTTCGTTTAGGACTCAAAGGACACGGCAATGGACACACCTGAACCTAATGACCTTACACGGGATCTGAAAGAGAAGAGTCTGACCAGAGATGCCCAAAAGAATAGAAAACCCTGCTTAATTATCACTACTTGGCATGTCCATGCAAAAAAAGATGCAAATCAAAAAGCATGAGCTGTGGATGGGGACGAGGACCAGGACTGGCCTCAAAGGGAAACAATATGGTCACACCCACTGCGTGTGCCAGCTTTTCCACCCAGCAAGACCAACAAGGCCAGGGGCCTAGGTCCCATGGCCTCAGATGGGAGACTGTCCCATGTGACTGAGGCTGGTGAGGCTCCCAGTTGGCTGTGATCCCAGCCAATGCAGGCACTTCCTTGGATGGCCCTGTACTGTCCCAGAACCCCAATACACCCCACCTTTTTCCAAAAAACATATTGTTTCCTTTTAGGCATGGAAAGGAAGCCCTTCATGACATTGCTTTGAAACTGAGGACGAGACAATATAGACGGACAGAATGGTTAGAGCTGGGGAGGAGGGGAAGGGGAACAACCAAGGACTTCCGCCACAGACAGCCAGCAGCCATGACCTGGGACCTGGCCCGGGGTGGGGCCCTCCTGCCACATGGAACACGGGGTCAGAGGTCAGAGTGGCCTGCGTGTAGAGTGTGCATCGGGCTTGTGAACTGAGGGGAGCAGGGGAGGGACACAAATATATAAGTATGCTTATATCTGGTGTCTACAGAAATACAAAACCATTGTAAGGGCTCCTAAGGTCTGGGCAGCCGCACCCTAAAGCTGGACCTAGAAGGAAACAGATAAAATGAAGCAAAAATAACACCAATACAGAAGTGACGCCAGGAGGAAAAATACCCAGAGTGTTAAGAGACAGGAGGCAATTTTCTCAGAAGTGACGGGCTTGGCCACCCCGTCTCAGCCGCTCTGACCAGTCCGGAGACCTGCACTGAGCCTGGGCCTGCCCAGGGCTGGGGTCAGCCACATGGCTATTCCACCCAGGGGCGTCAAGAGTTTGGTGACTGGTCCCTTGGGTGCACCTGTGGCTGGCAACGGAGTGTAGAGGTGTCCGGCAAGCGAGGCTGGCTAGCCATAGAAAGAGGCAGACTCCTATGCAAATGGGTGGGGGATGAGCACTGGGCACAGAGCCAGAGGCTTGGGTCCTCAGCTCTGCTACTGACTGGCTCTCAACCTTGGCCTCTCAAGCCCTCGGCCTCCTCTTCTGTAAAACAAGACAATTGAACTACACAAGATCTAAAGTCCCTTGGAGATTTTATGTAACAGAGGCTGATAAATACCCTTCTCTACATGGTGGAATCTGAAATTCCACCATTAGTGAGACATTCTCTCAGGTTAAGCACTGGCCTCTCACACGGTCTTTGAAATGCCAATGTTACCGGGTCAAGAACATGTTAAGCTGTGATCCTGCTGCCTGAGAAAGTGCCCAGTGTCTTCTCCCAGGGGTGCCATGCCAGGTCCTCCCTGCAGAACAGCTCATCTGACCAGAAGCACTAAAGGGTAGTCTGCCTGCAAGCCCTTGGCAGGCCCAGAGAGCCTGGGGGAAAGGTGCCAGCTAAACAGAGGGTCTGAGCAGAGCCTTCCCCATAACTTGCTAACACGGTGTGTGGGTGTGTGTGGGTGTGACTCCTTAAAGTGACTTAGCACACCTATAGTCTGCTGCTTCTGGGATGGATTTCTCCCTTCATTGGCTTTGTCAACTGTAAAAATAGTTCATTATGATTTTCTTTTTTAATTTGACAAAATCTCCGAACAGCCAGGACTCAGAGGCCATCTGGTCAACCTCTGCCCCCTTGCCCTCTCACTCTGAGTCTTCCCCCTTGGACTTTGCTGCCCCTTCCTTCTTCATTTCTTACATGCTGCCTTTCCTCCTTATGCCCTTCATGCTCTGTGGAGGACATGCTGGGGTGACTAGCCAGGGCAGGGCTGACGGGGCCTAAGTAGGGCTGTTTCTCTCCTCCCCATGTCCCCAGTCACTGCTGCCTCCACACTGGCCAGCTCACCTGTCCACCCATGTGTCCTCAGGCAGGTGGCTCAAACCCATGAAGAGCTGAGGTGGGACTTCAGGACAGACAGACACACACACAGAAATGCACACACACCCTGGCTGGCCCTGAGAACCATGGAATCACTGAGGGAAGGGGTGTTAGGCAGGTGGACAAGGCATCCATGGTCCTATAGGTGGGTTTGGTGAGACCAACATGGAGAACTTGGAAAGAGTTGCCCATTTTGCCCAGAGTCTGAGTGGGAGAGAGGTCACTGGGGATAAGCCGATGTCTGTGTGACAGAAGGACACAGGGATTCTGGGAGAAAGCATAGGTAACTGTAGGTACTTTCTAGGTTTGGAGGGGACTACTAGAAAAAAGTTGTGCAGGGAGTGGCTGGAGGCCCGTTGAGACACTGTGAGCTGCATACCCATCCCAGTGGCTACAGAGGAATATTTGGGAATGTGACAGAGACTGTTAGGCAGCTGAGTTTAAGATCTGCAGGAGGGAAAGCAGGGCTAGGGAGACCTTGTGTGTGCTCATGTGCTCAGAAAGGATGGCCTGGCCTTTCTGGTGTGATTCCCACATAGAAGCTCAGGTATGTCATTGTCCATTCCAGGGTACAAAGACAGGCATGCAGGAGTTTCACAGAGCCCTGAGTACTTGTGTGGCTCAGGCCAGCCCTAGCCCACTGATCACAACTCGGTAATGGATCTCGCTCACATAATTCACAAGCATCAGAGATTAGTGTTTGCTCCTCTTGTAAACCAGTCTTCTAGGTACAAACTGTTGATTCTGCCTGAAGTGCTGCAATTCACAATTGCCCAGCTCCACAGAGAAGGAGATGAAAAATGTATAGCTTGGTTATTCAAGTGTATTGGGTTCCTGTATGTCCAGGATCTTTGTCACTCAGTTAGGTGGGTCCTTTTAGCCAATGGAGTCTCTGGGTGGTGCAAATGATCAATGTGCTCCACTGCTAACTGAGAAGCTGGATGCTTGGAATGGTCCGAGGCACCTTGGAAGAAAGGCCTGGTGATCTACTTCTGCAAACTCAGCCACTGAAAAACCCTGTGGAACACAGTCCTACCCTGACACATATTTGCCAATATTCACCACAGCTTCCTCTATCATTGCTGGACAGGGATTGAGAAGCCCACAGCCTATAGGTGAGGCTTTGAGAAATTAACAGAGAAATGAGCTAATCTGTCCACTTGTTTTCATTCAATATGAAAACCCATTCAAGTGTGTCATGTGCACAAACAGGCTTTGTGAGATGAGTCTTTGCTGGTGTGTGTGATGCCAGCTGCAGGTGTCGATCCCATTTTGTCTGATGAGGGCTGTAGCTGTTCTCCTTGCCCAGGCATTATCTCCCACACATGGACATGGGGAGTACGTTTGGAAGTGCTGGCAAGGAGGGCAGTACCTCTACTGTCTCTAAAGAGCAGAATGTTCTCCTGTCTTCTCTGATGGAACCTGCAGTTGGCCCAGCTAGTGAGCTGTTTGGTATCACTGTGACCTCAGAGGGTAAGTGGAAGGACATCGCCATGGGCCAAAAAAGAAAATTCAGGGCAGATCTAGGTCCTGCTTATTGGTGTTGAGAAGCAACCCTGGACTTGAGAGACTATAACCACAGGACCCCTACTAGTTCTAACTGAGAAACCAAACCAGTTGCTGTGGAGTTGATTCCGATTCACGTCAACCCCATGTGTGCCTGAGTAGCACTGCTCCACAGGGTTTTCAATGGCTGATCTTTTGGAAGGAGATCACCAGGCATTTCTTCCAAGGCACCTTGGGGATGGACTCAACCCTCTATCCCTTTCAGTTAGCAGCCAAGTGTATTAACTCAAGGACTCCCCAAGTAGGTCTGTTGTTGCTACTTGCTGTCTAATTCAGTTCAGACTCATGACACCCCCAGGTGACAGAGTAGCACTGCTCCACAGGGTTTTCAAGCCTGTAACCTTTTGGAAGCAGATCACCAGCCTTACTAGGTCTACTTTGCTCAAAATCTTCCTTCCTTTCCAAAGCCTGGGTTCAGCTGCTTTCCTTTCCTTGTTAAAGCCCCACTCAATCCTGGATCCAGGATCCAAGCTTGGATGTGCAAGATGGATGGCTGTGATGAGGCCCGGTTCCTTTTCCTGCAGGGTTTTCATCTTGATCATCACAGGGGGTCAGAAGGGGTAGCAAAGGGATGGACGTGGCAGATCCAGCATTCTCACCACAGGCTCTGCTTCACGCACTCTTCTCCAAGGTTTCCTCGGTTTCTGGCCCTCACTCCAAAGGGTTTGCTCCATGCCCAGGTGTAGTGAGTGCCTGGGATTGAGATGCCTGTTTTAAGGGGATTACATCTTCCTTGGGCAGGTCCTGTGGCCAATTTACAAATATTTCTAACAGATGTGTGCACACACATGCACACATATAAACTTCGTAACTTTTGCCATGAGTACAGGTCCATACTGTCAGCTGGGAGTTCAGTTTCCTTTCTCACTGTCTTTGTGAACAAATAAGCAATGCCTTTTTGTTTTTCTCCAGGTTGACAAATTGATGGTAGGAACATAAATTTGGAATCAGACCTCAATTCGAATCCCAAATCTACTGGCTACTTAATTTCTCTGCACCTCAACTTTTTCATCTGTAAAATGAGGGTGCTGCTAAGAGTACCTGCCTCTCAGGGCTACTGGGATGACTTCCAGGACAATATTAGACACCTCTGCAAGTTTACTTGTGGGGTAGATCTTGCCTTTGTCAGAGGAAGAAGACAAGAGTTTGTAATTCAATATGGCATGAATTCAGGGAAGGGTGATGGAAGGATGTATGGGGAAGGCAGGGGTCAGCCTGGAGAATAGGCCTAGAGAAGGGGCTCTGGCCAGACTTTGCCCTGACTGTCTGAGGGGCTGACGGGCAATTGAGCAGAAAGGACACTGGGCCACTGGTCAGAGGGATGCTCTGAGCAAGCTCTTCCACTCCCAGTTTCATTGTCATTTCTTTTAAACCACAAATCTGACCATGAACCTCCCCTTCCCCAGGCTTAAGGTCCTTGGGATCTGACTCCTGCCTCTCTCTCCAGCCACATCATCTCCATTTCAGCTTCACACTTGACATTACGGTTCTTTGTAGTGCCTTTAACCCTCCTGTTGCTCCAATGTCTTACTTGTGTTCTTCTCTCATCTCTCTCCTTGTTTGCCTGGCAGATTTCTTTTCTTCCTTCAAAACCCATGTCAGATGCTTCCTCTTCCAAGAAGCCCTCCCTAAATGTACACCCTGCACAGAGGTAGGCATTTTGCCCATGCAAAATCTCCATTTCTGCACTTACTCTGCGCTGGCATTAATTCTTGCTTACAATTCCCCCTCCACCAAGGCTATAGGCTCCCTGAGCACAGACACCCATCTTATCTAGTGTATTGCGCAAGGCCTGGCACCTCAGGAAGTACTTATGCTGGTGTGCTGGGTGAATGGTGAGGAAACAACTTGGCTTCCCATTCACCTTTCCTGTGGTTCCAGGTGAGGACATTCACACTGGTGCTGGGCCTGGGGGGTGTTTTTGCAAGGGTTAAGTGTGGTGGGACAGTATCCTCACTGGGGTTGGAATGGTAGGCATGTCACCTGGCCTAAGCTGGAGATAGGAAAGAGCCTAGCTTGAGCCTCCAGGCCTAGGATCCTGGGACAGCAGAGGGAAGGGCACCTGTACCTGATGGGAGCCCAGTGTGGGTGGGTCTTTTCCAGAACCTTGAGGACACTCATGAAGGTGAGAGCAAGACACAGTGCCCTGAAGTCCCCCTCACTCAGATGGTTCCTGCTCCCTCCTCTAACAAGAACGAAGCCACCGAAGACAGTGAGTGGCCCTGCATTTGAGGTCAAGGGCCGGCCCATCTCTTTGCCTCTGGGCCACTCTAGGCTGCCTTGCACTAGGTCTCCAGGGTCATAGACATGAAGGAGACTGAAACAACAAGGTAACTTCAGCTACTCTCTGATTTTACAGGGCCAGAAAGGAAAAGATCTTCCAATAAAGATTCTGCTTTCCTCCCTACAGAAGGAGTTCATTTGCAGCTATTAGCGTAAATGGTGATATATGCCCCTCAGTTAGGGCTAGGGAAATAAAATTTGAAATGGCTGCAAATTAACATTGGGATCTTGCACCTTAGGGGTGCCTCAGGCTCTGCTCAGGCCTCCTCCTCTCCCGCCCTCTTTCCCTGAGTGAGTGACCCTCCCGTACACTGAGGGCTCTACCCTGTCTCCAGGCCCAGACCTATTTTGATCCATCCACTGGCCACCGACCGGGCCGCCCTGTTTGGGTGTCTCTCAGGCTGCTGACACGTACCATGTGTCTAAAGTGGAACTCATCATCTTCCCACCACCCACCTCCTTCCTTGCTCTCCCCTCAGGAGGGCCTTCCTCCCTGTGAACACGGATGTACCTGACCTGTCACTGCCACTTGTCTCATGTTCTGGGCTTGTATTTGGGAAGCATCCCCAGGACTGGCCCTGCCCATCCCCTCACTGTCCCTAGAGGATGTCAGAGCTGTAAAGGAACTTGGACATTGCTTCAACCAGCTTCCTGCTTTACAGATGAGGAAATCTGAGAGAGAGGGCAGGTTCTGACTGGGGTCATAGGACAGGTGGCAGTCAGCTAGCTCCCAAGGGAGTGCTCTCTCCCTTCCAGCCACTGCTTCTCAGTCTCTTCAGTTAGAGTCCCTGAGGAAGTTCTACTGTGCCTTACTTCCAGATGGGCACCCCTCCTTGCTGCTTCTGATGACTCCACAACCTCAGAGCAGACCCAGAGTCCTACCTGGGCTCAAGGCCTGCCTGCCTGACCTAGCTCACCCTCATCTCTGGGAAGGCTCTCTCCCCTTCCTCCACTGCTCATGCCTGTTTTCTGTCCTGAAATTCTCTCCCTCCCTCTTCTCTCCCTGTCCCAGAAGCCTTCATGACCTGCTCTGGCCTATACCCTTTGCGATCTCACTTAGTGGTGTCCTGTTATCTGTTGTGTGCTAGTGTTGGGCTATAAATGGAGGCTCTCCAACGGTTGGCAGAGGGTACTGTGCTCCTCTTTCCCATGACCTTCCAGCCCAGGGCCAGCCATGCTTAAGGACCATCCTGCCCCGCTCTGTCCTCTCCAGCTCAGCTGGAGCAGGGGCCAGCGTTGTAGGTTGCCACATTTGTAATTCAGCAGCCAGGGGCTGGTCAGAGCTAGTTCCAGAGTTTGCCAAGCATGGCAGCACAAAGACCTTCCTGGCCTGAAGAAGCCACTGAATGTGTGCCCCACTCCCCCACCTGAAACCTGAGTGGGAGACCCGAGTAGCCCATGAGACAAGAAGTTACAAAGAGCCTGGCCCTTCCTGCACCACTGAGGCCAGCGCGGCTGGGGCAGAAAGGATACAACAGATCAGAAAGGAGGTGCCAGCCAGTGTGCCATCCTGAAACAAAACACAGTCACTCCGGGGTTAGTTGGCAATTCAAACAGAGCACTGGGAAGCAAGCAGAGGTCCTGTCCTCCCACTCTGAGCAGAGTCCCGGCTCCGCGTCTGCCCCGGAGAGGCTGCAAGGCAAAATGAGCAGCGGCATTAATCTGCTGATGGGTGAGAGAAACATGAGCGTTACCCTGGGCTGGCCTCCCTCACTGCTCTCCCTCACTAAGGAACTAGAAGGTGGCCCCTGACTTCTTTGCAAGGGTATGAAGCAGATAAATTAAAAAGTCAACATAATGGGGGGAAAAAAAATGCTCATGCACCATTAAGAGTCATTCAGGTAGAAATAGCCGGGGCAAAGGGCAGAGAGCGAGGGGAGCCAAGGCTGAGAGAGACCGTGTTTAAGACACACCTGGTCTGTGCTCAGACAACGCTGGCTTAGGCTCAGTGAACAAGTAGGGTTTGGCTACACGTCTCTTCTCCCAGACTCGGGCTGGGGACAAGCGGCTCCTTGGGAACCTCTGCTCTTCAGTGGGGGACAGTCTGGTCGATCTGCTATCCTGTCATTAAATTTTCCATCGGCAGCTGTGACGATGGTGCTGAGGACCTTGCACTGGCCCAGTGGGGGCAGTGTGCAGTGGTCCCTTAAAACAGAGTCTACAGTTCTCCTAATCTGAGAGTGGGCTTGTGAGCCGCTGAGAACATGGGATCCTAGGGGTGGGGCAGGATGTAGTCTACTGCTGGCAGAGGCCCCTGATGACCAGAAAAGCTGTGTGGAGAGGGCTGGGAGCAGTGGCTGCTCTGAGGCTGTGTGTGAGAGGACACTCAAGGAGAAGGGAGTAGGAGAAGGGGAGATGGCTACTGGCTCTGTGACTGGGAGTCACGCTTCAGGAACCTGCAAGAGAGGGGAGGAGAAAAGCGACACAAAAGCGTCCTACAAAGGAACAGACCCGACCACAGCTGGAAGGAAGGCAAACCTTTGAATCAGGTCCTTGAAATACAAGCTGCAGGAAGCTAGAACATTTTGGTGGACTTCAAACTCTCTGCCTTCAACAACAATTTTCAGGTCTGTAAACGCTTTCGCTCTGCGCTGCTGGTTCAATTCCTTCAACATTTCTGCAGAACAGAGAAGACAGACAGGGCCAGGTTCCCATTAAGAGTTTATTATTATTATTATTTTCTTTTTATTTATTTAATTTTGTTTTCAAGAAGTAGAGAAATAGGAAATACTTGGTATTGTTTCTTGGCAAGACTGGCTCAACACTGACAGTCAAAAGAAGTCACAAACATAATGCATAAACAAGCAGGAACTGGGAGGGGCTACACAACCAAAGGAATAACCATTTAAAAAGGAAAAAAATTACAAAACCACCAAATACAATTGAAAAGAAAAAAAAAAAAATCAAACCCAGAAATTGAAGGTTGGGGGGAAAAGATTCCCATACTGACAATTGGAAACATAGAAAATACATCATCACAGACAATTAAAACCTGTTATATAAACTAAGGAACAAGTTCTCCAAATGTCAATGAGTGCTGATGTAATTATACCAAGTAAAGCATGGCATTGTGATGTAAGATGGGCTGGATATGGTTCAAAGGAATAAAACCCACAAAACCTGCAAAAACAGCGTCCCTTATGTTAGACACTCACAGCCATGGTAGGGGAGAGTTTCTCCAGGAGTGTGGCCGGAACACCAGCCGAGAGACAGGAGGGGCCAAGTGGGGGCCTGGCAAGCCGCTCCTTCCCTTTTCACACTTACAGGGATTGTCTGGGGAAGCAAGCGGGGGACAGGGACTCTGGGAACCTCCTCCCATTTCCTGGGTCATGTTCTCAGGAACCCCACACTCCCCTGGAGGGGTCAGCATTAGGAGCCAGGCTTGCAGTCCCAGTAGGTCCCTGAAAGTAGCCTCTGGGGTCTGCCCACTTTTATGTGCACCTACCTTTGCCTGGTGTCTTGTCCACCTAGAGTGTCCGGGCCTCTGGGCTCCAGACGTGGGAATGTCAGAAGCTTCTACCAGACCCACCCCAAGGCTCAGAAGAGGGAAGGAGGAAAGAGTCTACTAGCTACTCGGTTTAGTTTATATCTGTTCTTCCATTTGCAGAATTACAGCCTTCAGATGACCAATGCTTCCCCCAGCTTCACCTGGCCTACACCTGTCTGCCTGCCCTAGGGCTGGCTCTACTGATAGGTTTAGAGCCACTGGATGAAGACTGCCCTTAGCATGACTGGGAGTGGGACGCCAGAAGCCCTGATTCTTGGCCCAGAATGAGCTAATCTGTAATCAAGCAGGGCTGTTTCCTTTGGCAGATGGATGAGATAGGGTAGTCTAAGTGAGTCCTGCCCTCTAAGCTCTTTCCATCACCGCAAGCCCTACAGGTCTATGCTGAACCCTGGCGGGGGCTCTAGAATTTCCCTCCAGCATGCCCTGCTTCAGCTTGACCTGTCATCTCTGTCCACAACTACCCATGGGTCAGCATCGGCTGCTTGCCAAGACGCACATCCGGGCCCAGCTCTGCCACTGACATTGTAGGTGCCCTAGCACCTCTCCGAGCCTCTGCTTCTACACCTGTCACAAGGGGATGGAGGTTCCTCCTTGTTTCCCAGGATATGGGGAATGTCAGAGGGTCAAGATGAGCTCCAGGATGGGAGGGGCTTTGTAGGACTGGGAGATTAGGCAGCCCTTTCTTTGTGAGGACACACTAAGCCTGGTTGAAGGCCAGAGTAGACAGTGAGATGGGGTCCCTGAGAACACTTGCATGCAGGGACTGAGGGGCCCTCTGGGAGCCATGGGCAATTTGAGTCCCTAAGCCCCAGGACCCCCACTGGCAGGCTGAGTGTGGAGTTACAGCAGGGCCTCCACATGGAGTGTGGGGGGATGTAGCTTTCCCTAGCCACACATGGGGTGTGCTTGACCTGGAGCAAGAAGGGGGCAGGAACCCTGGGTAGACCAGCAGGGCATCAAGCAGCAGATTCAAAGAAGGGATGGAGGACACTGCAACATGGTGGTCAGTGAGGAAGATCTTCAAAGCCTTGCCATGGGAGCTTGAACTTAATCCTGTGGGGACCATGGAGCTCCCAAGGGACTCTCAGCAGGTAAGTAACGTGATTAGATGAACCACTCTGGCAGCAGCCAGAATGTGGAGGCTGAACATGGAGAGATAGACTAGAGGCTGGAAGTGAGGCAGGAAGTCCAGTGGTCAAGGGCACAACTGAAGCCAAGCCTGAATGTGAGCCCAAACTCTCCCTGAAGTCAGCATGTGACTTTGGGAAAGTTAATTAACATCCCCAAAGCCCCTAAGTCCTCATGTATTGAAGGTTAAATGAGACAGTGTCTGGAAAGCAATTAGCAGAGAGTTTGACACATAGTAAGTGCTCAGTTAGTGGAAGACTCCATGTTACTGTTGATGGTGATGATCTTTCCATAACTCAAGTGGGAAATGAAGTTAGGAATGGGGCAGAGAAGAACTATTTAGGCAGCAGAGGTAAGTTGGAAGGAATGTGGAGAGGACAGGGAGGAGTGAGAATGATGTCCGGGTTTCAATGGAGGGAAGTAGGACATCCAGGGGAGATGTGCGGGAGGCCGTAGACAGAGACCAGGACAGGATAAGAGGCAGTGGGAGCCAGCAGCAACACAGATGGCCTGGGCATGGATAAGATGACTTGAGGCAGTCTGTAGGCTATTACACTCTCACACTGCAACTCCAGAAATAGCCACCAACTGAATGAATTCTCAAACCACAACAAGCTACGTGGGTCACGCCAGTGTTTTGAGTGATGTAATGTGTGTGTGTGTCGGGGGAAGAGTTCCGGGCTGGAAGTCTGAAAACCTTGAGGGTGGTTCTAGATCAGCTTTGCTCCTAGTTGGCTGTGTGGCCCTGGGCAAGGTACCTCAGCTTTCAAGGCCTCAATTTCCTCAAGCACAAAGGGTCAGGGACACCTGCTTTGTTGCTCCCGGATGTCATGCTGGGGTGAGTGACAGACATGGCCCACATGCCTGCTGAGTTGACTAGTTCTCGGAGGCCACAACTATACACAAAATGCCATTCTGGGTCCAAAACATTCTGAACATTTTTGATGATTTGTACTTGAAAACCAGTTCCTAGCTATGATGATATCCATAACCCCAGCAATGCCTGCTTCATGCCTGCTGCTCCAGGAATTCTGGGGCCAGACCTGGAAGGTGCTTGGAAATCCAGGTGTCCCCGTTGTAAATGCAAATGCTTTCTGCTCTCTCTGACTCTCACTTTGTGGGAATCTAGATTTGATAGTTGGGGAGGATTACTCACTTTTGGAAGAATTTTCCAATTTATAAACGTGCTCACCAGGGGACTCCTCTTCACAGCAGGGCCCCAAGTACATCCAAGGCATTAATCAGGTGGTTGTGCTTACTGCTGCCGGCTGTGTGTCCAGCCTGGGGAGCTATGGCATTTCAGAGTGTGGATTAGAGGGAAGTCCCTAGGTGGTGCAAAAGGTTAACGTACATGACTCCTAACCAAAAGGTTGGAGATTCAAGTCCACCCAGAAGTGTCTTGGAAGAAAGGCCTGGTGATCTACTTCCAGAAAACCAGCCACTGAAAACCCTTGAGCATAGTTCTACTCTGACAGGCATGGTGTCACCAGGAGTTGGAATCAACTCTATGACAACTGGTTTCTGGTTATCCGAGAAGAGCAGCAGAGTTATACCAGGGAGGACATCATGACCCAGAACCTACAGGAGGATGACTCAGGGAAAGCCCAGCTGGCCGCCTTTCCATCCTACAGTCTGACAACGGATCAACCCTTAATCTCTGAGGAGCTCGGAGGATTATGGGTTCCTGGGGAAGGCTTCTAGGTAGCAGGGCCAGTTCTCAGGTGTGGGAGGTCTGCCAATCCCAAGGGTGGTGGCCCAGGCAGGGTCTGCTGTGCAGACTCCCAGCACCCTGTGTGGGGCCTGCTCATGGCAGGTACAGAATTAGTTTGTATCAGGCTTCTGAGGAAGAGCTCTCCCCAGGCAGAGGTTCAGCAGGGCCTGGTGGGTGAAAGTTGGCCAGCTTGAACCTCCACAGGGCTGAGCCTTTCCCACCTGATGAAGCAAAGCCTTTACCTCAGGACCCTCCCTGTTGGCTGAGCCTCAGAAACTGTTTCCTGTCCTCTGCAGCTCTGCTTGGCATATCATACCCCCTGTCCCTGCAGGACCTCATGCCCTCGCCTTGCCCACAGAAGTGGCTGCCTTGGGCCCTCTGGCTGGCACCTCAGTGGGGGACCCTTCCTGCTCAGGATCACCTGTCAGGGAGCATGTCCCCAGGAGCCTTGTCTGGGCCCCTCTCCCCGCAGACCACCAACTTCTTTCTCTAGGCCTCCTCCTGACACCCCTCTCAACCATACACCAAGTCCTGTCTGTTTTACCTCCTAAAAATCTCACATTCATTCTCTTTTTCTAATTGAGCTGCCACCTTATTTCACCCAAATCACTGCAGCAACCTCCAAGGATGTCTCTTCTTCCAACCTGTCCCCTCCAAGCTGCCTCCACACTGCTGCTCCACACAGTACCCTTGCCACCAGCCTTGCTTAAACAAAACTCTGCAAGGCTGAGTAGGGTGAGCAAGGTCTTCTGTGATGAGTCCTTCTCTCCAGTCAGCTCCTCCACTCCCAGCAGGTACTTTACCCCAATGAAGCCTCACTGCACCCCAGGCAGGGACCCCTTCCAATCCTCTATTCATCTCTCTGTCCCTTCTGCTCAGATCTTTCTTTCCTCGCCAATTACCATTTACTCTTCAATCCCAGTTAAGATGTTATCTCGTCCCAGGGCAGTCTCTTTTTCTTCCCACATCCCACTGCCCTCTGCCATCCTCCACATCCTGTACTTACTTCTTTATAGGACATTATTGGTTGCAATTATTTACTTACATGTCTGCCCTTTGCACTAGACTGCATTTTATTCATACTTTGATCTTTAACACTGAGCATAGGGCTGGCAGATATATAGCAGATGTGGTACATTGCAAAAATTCTTTGCAGCTCCTCCCATCAAGGGGTAGAATCCATTTCCTCATCTTTGAATCTTTGCTGGCCTTGTGACTTACTTTGGACCATAGAATGTGGTGGAAATGGCCTTTGTGAGTTGTGAACCTT